AGGGCTTCTCGATTTCTAGCCAAGATATTCCGGAGTCCAAGAGACAGGAGGCTGCCACAGAGAGACAGAAGAGGAGAAGAGTTGCCGTGGAAAAGAGACTTGAGAAGGCCCAGGGTGAGGTAAAAAAGGCCGATGATTGGAGTCAAGCTGATTCAGAGTTTAATGACTTCCCCATGGCTGATCCGAGTGCTGACCAGGAGAATGGTGACTTTGTCCCTAACCCAGAAAATAATGATCCCAAACCTTCCAGGCATAAGATTCAAAATAGGAAAGATATCCTGAGCATAGCTCTGGCCAGCATGCGACACAACACTGGTCTCAGAGAAACTGCAGAGATAGCAAGAGCTGCCTGGATTGACGGTGGTTTGATAACACCTGATGATGTTCACCTGGTGATAGATCATAACAAAGTAAGGAGAGCTCAGGAGAAACTTGTCAGTAACCTAGAAGAGGAGTTTGATAAGGGGATAAGAGAAAATGGAATCAATTGTTTGTTCTTTGATGGGAGAAGGGATGACACTCAAAGTGTTCATGAAAGTTGAGATTCTGACAAGTTGTTCCCTGCCATGGTGAAGGAGGAACACTACTCCTGCTGCAGTGAACCAGGAGGAAGTATTTGTAGATTTCACCCAGAGAAAGATGTATATCAGGAAACCAGCTGAGATAGTGGCAGATAACATTGAACTGGCTCAGAGAGAGGAACGTAGACCAGACCCTGCAGGCCATTGGAGGGGACAGCACCAACACGAACACAGGGTGGCAAGGGGGGGTCATACAGTGGATAGAGTGGAAGATTGGGAGGAAGCTGGTCTGGATTGTTTGTGACCTCCACACCAACGAGTTGCCACTCAGACATCTGATCCAGGAGCTGGATGGCAAGACTCTTTCAAGCAACAGATGGTCTGGTCCTCTTGGCAAGATGCTGGACTCTGCCACTGAGTTAGAAATAAATCCGAGCTTTGAAAAAATCACAGTTGGCCCTCCACTCGTTGAGCTTGCACATACTGTCATTGACGACCTGAGTACTGACCAGTACTATGGTTACATGATTTGCAGTGCCATCAAAACTGGGGTCATGCCTGATAGACTTGCTTACCTGCAGATAGGTCCAGTCTCACATTCTAGGTGGCTCACAACGGCTCTCAGGTTCTGCAGAATTTGGGTCGCTCATCATAAACTGAAAGGGAACCAGCTTCACAACCTGAGACTTATTGTCCAATTCATCGTGAGTGTCTACTTGCCAAATTGGTTCAACACCAAGGTCAAGCCATCATTCTCCGAAGGTCCGAGGCATGTTCTCTTCCAGCTTGAGCTCCTGAGGAGTCAGCCAAGGAAGGTTGTTCAGATTGTGGAGCAGACTGTGAGGAGATCTTCCTGGTATGCTCATCCCGAGGCAGTTCTGCAGACAATGCTCTGCAGTAAGGATGAGGAGGAGAGAAGAGTGGCAGTAAAAAAGATCTTGGATATGAGACTTATGAGAGGATCTGGGCATGACGAATCAGTTGGTGACGATTCCTTCAGGGTCAGGAAGACTCCTGAAGTCAATCTAGGTGCCAAGACCCTCACTGATCTCATAGATCTGGATAACATCCAGGCTGGCAGTGAGCCCCCTCTTATCTGCAGCCTCACCAATGTTCAAGTCAGAGCTTTCCTGGACAACCCCATGCATGTCCCTGCCTGGCCCTCGCACACCCAGAGTATAGAGCGTTGTGTACAGCAAGTGAGCGAGGCCAGCAGTCAAGTGTACAGCCAGGAGGGGAGGGAAGGTTACATCCGAGCTCAGGTGGTCAGCAGGGAGGTGATGAGTAGCAACAGAAGCAAGAAAGACATGTTCTCTATGGTGTGCAGCAACACCGGGTCGTAGTAGTAAAACCGGTTTTTGTATTTGATGATTTTGTTTTCTTAAGGAATATTAAATTTAATAAATGTGTCAAGATCATTCGTTTCACTATTCTGGATCATTTTCATCCTAATAAATTAACCTGATACATTTACTTTACTTTAAATAAGCTATTTAGTGGTGTTGGTAAAAGGGTGGGAATACTGAATTTTCATAAGATTTCAAGTTAAAATTTACCTAGCAAAAAATGAAAACTTTTAAAATCTGAAGATATCACATGATTCTGCACATAGAACTACATCATTAATACCATGGGCCGATTTTTCAAACTCAAAAAAAAAAAATTCGCCTCCGTATGACACACCCTAATGCACAGGCCAACCGGCCTATTGCAGACTCCTTATTTTCTTATGTTCTTATATCTAACACCGTATAATGTAAAAATAACTATAATAACTAATAAAGGTGCCCTACAAGTGTTAAGTTTCTACCACGCCAAAATACGCCCATCACTTCTTTAACGACTGTGCGCTAAGGTAATTGTTAAATGTAAGGAACCACAGAATTTGCAGAAAAATCATCTCAATGCGCTAGTGTGCCTTATGAATAAAAAATACTATGTACTGTACAGTATATGAAAATATAAAAGAAAAACTAAGAGAATAGGAGTATATTCTATGTGGGAGATGGAGCCCTTCATTATCACTTAGAACTTCTCTCGCAAAGAATTCTGAATACAGTTCTGTACTGTATATACTATTATACAATGGAGATAGAACACACCCTGTCTTACTCTGTCTAACTGTGATCCGGTTAGTAAGTTCATTATTTACTAACACTGCAGCCTCCTATTGCCAGTAAAATTCTTTAAAATTCTAGTACCTCCTTCGTTATTGCATATTTTTTCTACAAGTTTATTTTGCTTTACCTTATCAAAAGCGTTTTCCAAAATCAACAAAGATACTGTATAAAAAAAAATTAACCTCTATTAACCATTCTTTCAAAATTCTCAAACTAAATACAGTGACCCCTCGTTTAACGAACACCTCGGTTAACGTAATTTCGATTAACGAACTGCCTTCCATAAGGATCTTCAATTCGGTTAATGAAAAAAAATTCGCTTAACGAACTTCTTACGAACCGACCTCAACATGTTTTCGCTTGCACTGACCGGGCAACCAGCTTTAGTATCAGTCCGCCAATACATTAATCGGTTCTAGGGCTTAAATTCCTTAGTGTGTGTGTGTGTGTATATATATATATATATATATATATATATATATATATATATATATATATATATATATATATATATATATATATATATATATATATATATATATATATATATATATATATATATATATATATATATATATATATATATATATATATATATATATATATATATATATATATATATATATATATATATATATATATATATATATATATACAGTGACCCTCGCTTAATCTAACACCTCGTTAACGTAATTTCGATTAACGAACTGCCTTCCATAAGGATCTTCAATTCGGTTAACGAAAAAAAATTCGGTTAACGAAGTTCTTACGAACCGACCTCAACATGTTTTCGCTTGCACTGACCGGGCAACCAGCTTTAGTATCAGTCCGCCAATACATTAATCGGTTCTAGGGCTTAAATTCCTTACTATTTTAGTAAATATCAAGAAGTTTATACTATTCAATAATTTTAAAAGTTTAATATTCAATTTTTTAGTCATTTTAACAATTATTGAACATAATTAAAGGTAAAGTGACTAGTTTAATGCGCGGCATCCAGCCTCTTAACACAGCAAACAGGAGTTAGTCTCTCTCTGTTTTCACTGGAGGTAACATCTTGCTTGAGACTCTCTTCAACTAAATGCTTTTTTTCTGTGTTTCCAAGCAAATTATTGGTCATTTTGAAATATATTTTACATATTGACAATATATAATGCAGTGCAGTGTTGATTTAAAGAAAATAATCTTGAATTACACCAGAGAGCTAAAATTTTATGGGTGAAATGGCACCATGGGGTGACTTCTCTTCCACCCCAATGCCTTCTCTTCTTCCTTCTCCTCCACCCCCATTTTAAATCCCATCATCATCATCATCATCCAGGAGCCTTCTACATACACACCTAAAAGTAAGTAAACTTTTTTACCATTTTTGTTGAATTTAGGAAATTTTCGGTGAGCTGGAACCAATTACCCAAAAACCCATTGAAACAATGGTTTCGGTTAACGAACGACCTTCTGGAACGGATTGAGTTCGTTAATGGAGGAGTCACTGTATATACCGTCTCTTAATTTACTTAAATATTCAGGTTCTAGGCGTAACCAAACAAAAAGTGAACTCAATTATAAGAGAATAAAAATAAGTAAAGTAAACCTTTAAGCATTTAATTGATTAAATATTAACACAATAAAGAGCCTCGTAGGCTGTCACAACAAATTGATTCACCATCGAAACTTTTAAGACACAAGTGATACAAAACATCGAAACATCAAAAGAATAAAAATAAAGCATTGGATTACGTTAACACTGCATAAACATGTAAAAACTATCACTGAAATTAACTAACGTGAAACAACACTGAATTACTTGAATACAACTAAGCAAATACTGATGGACACAGAGACATAAATAGGTACTCGCATAGATATACCACATTGGTGGCGACAGGAACAACACAAATAAATTAAGTATAAGTTACAAGTGACACTCAAAGGATGTGGACTGTATGACAGGAGAATTGAACTGACTCAAGTCAGTTGGTGGGTCCTATATATAAGGTCGGCTCCCGCCACGCGACCCGCCGGTGGGTCGTTTAACGATGCAGATAGTCGTTAGAGAACAAAGAATGCTGGTTACAATACAAAATAAAGAAATAAGATGCGCTTGAACAAATAATGACAGTAAAACCTTAACAGCACAGGGTAAGGTGACTAGAATATATAATAGTAAATTTAACACATCATTACAGGAATAATATGGAACATGGGAGCATGTTATATATAAAAAAAAAGAAAAAATACGACACGGTCGTAACAAAATATATATATATATATATATATATATATATATATATATATATATATATATATATATATATATATATATATATATATATATATATATATATATATATATACACAGACAGACACCACGTCAAGCCCTGCGTAACACCACCTGTGAGGGAACTACTACTCCACGTGATGCCCCTCATTACGCCATCTGTGACGGAGTTACTCCACTACGTGTCTACTGTTCAACACGTCAGCTCACATGACCTACGTGACCTCCGATATAAACATTAATCTGTATGTTCACTGTATGTTCCTTTACCTTTCTCTAATGAAGGCTTTTGTTAAACCACCAATGTATGTAATAAGTCATTTATGTCCAATGTATATTTTCAGCCTATGGGCTACAAAGCTTTTTCAATAAACCGTTTATTATTATTTATTATTATTACATACATACAGGGATCAGCCCACCCGGGCAAAGGTCACCGACCCACATTGGGGCCTGGGGGTGAAAATGTAATAATAATAATAATTATTCATAGTAAATAAAACTTATAATAAAAAATACACAAAAATAAAATAATTATAATAATAATAATAATAATAATAATAATAATAATAATAATAATATTAATAAAATAATAATAATAAAGAAATACAAGAATGAAAAAAGATCAAAATTGAGAAACGAACAATATCTATGAATTATTATTATTATTACTACTACTATTATTATTAATACATTTTCACCCCTTAGGCTCCAATGTGGGATGGTGATCTGTGCCCGGGTGAACTGATCCCTGAAAAAAAAAAACTAACCCAACCTAACCATTCAGAAATCCGAAACACATCTGGCCCCAAGGATTTCGGATAAGGGATTGTCAACCTGTACGTAATACAAATATTGATTTGTCGAAATCACCGGAAAGTCTCTCTTGGTGTTTATAGAATTACAGGGGTACACGTTTTAGTCAGACATTTCATCCCATTCTTGGCCCCCCTTTTTTTTTCTACTGGAAGCTGATTATCTCCACAAGCTTTACCATTTTGCTCACAGCTGCCTCAAGTTCTGTTTCCTGAATAATCATTTTGAACTTTTTCCTTTTTTGTTTCTTACCACTACTTTATCTATATCATTGTATACTGTAGTTCTATGCACAGGTATACTGTACCTCAATTACCGATGCATATAGGGACTGAAAAGTTGTTGCTTAGTGAATCAATGGTTATTGAAGGAATTCAGGGGGTTAGGAACCGACTAACCCCCCAAAATCTCTCGCCTACCCTTGATATATCTGTCGTTCACACTGTCACACAAGAAAATATAGCAGACATATGAAGAAAGCATAATAAGTATTAAATAACGATTGTAATGCATAATTTGAGAGTGTTATTTACCTGACCTGACCTACTCTTATCTAACCTACTCTAACCTGGTGATGACTTCACAGCCATTGGTGATGACATTATCAACTTTGTTGTTCTCTGGCACTTTCTGTCCATACTGTACATTTCTCATAACTCCCATTACTTTCTTTAGTTACTATGTTGTCAATTCATCACTCATTGCTCCACTTACTGACATACCGTATCCACTCGCAGACATATGGAAACGTTTAGGTTAAAATAAGTGTATCTCTCTTTTATTCAGCTGTATATGTAAGTTAACTCATGAGGTCTTTTAACTCCCCCAAGGTATGTGAAATGAGCATCAGTAGCAAGTGTTGGCCCAAATACAAGTTCAGGCCCTGTGGCTGAGAAATGATGCGCAGCAAGATGTGCAGTATACTTCTTCGAGGTTGGCTGCTTGAGTTATCTGCTCTTGCACAACAACAAATGGTGGCAGTGCCAAGGTTAACATTCAGATTTCCCTGTGGTTGATAATGACTTGTGTGGATGTCAGGTTCTGAGTGCCATACACATGTGCTTGCATAATTTGCATATATTATGCATTTTGTCAGATATTATAATAGCTCTAAAGTTTAGTGCTCATTGTGTAAGTGCTGTCAGATTACTACCAGTTGCCATTTAAACTTAATAAATTATAGTTAATGAAATGGTTAACAGTTTCCAAAGACAGTACAGTGTAGTTTTATTTGATTATTAATAACCCACTTCTTTGAGAGTGTCTATACCGTAATTATATCAATGTTATACAGTATACCTGTACAGTATACAGGTATATATAAATGCTGTATATTTTGTGGTAATTAATGGGGTTATGTTCCTCTTTTATATATATCATTTGAATACAACATTAGACTGAAATTTTAAAGCTATTTATATGAAGTGTTAAATGATACTAATAACACCGAAGAAGAGACACAAGTCAATATAAATACTCTGTACGGTAGAGAGTGCAGCAAGGTTTTCTGATTATTAATTATGAAAGCATTAATCATTGAGAGAAATTAGCTTGTCAGATAGCACCGATAATATTTGAATCTCTGCAGTGCAATGAATTCTGTGAAATATTATTCTCATATAAATGTTTTATTTCATGGAGATATTTTATTTTACCTGTGAATGCCAAGTTTCAATGTAACCTAATCTATTCTTAGTCTTACTGTTGGTTAATGGTAAACTTCTTCTGTCCAGTAAGCACTACAGTATTTATGTGGCAGTGAAAGTGCTGATTGTGACTATAGTAAACTTTGGTTTTAAAGATGGTTAAAAGTTACTTGTATAATTTGTATGATGTGTGTTTAATATTTTTAATTTTGTTACAAAGAGGTTATGTATTGTGTATCTTGTTAAAAACTTGACAGTGGTTTGTACTCTAAATCATCATGATTTCACATTTTACATAGCTTATAATGTGTATTTTGGAATGTTACAGTACTTAATATTTTAGAAGAATGACAGGAAAAACAAAGAGAATGCTTGAGAGAAAATCCTGAATTTTCTGGGTTGTTCATTTGCGTATAAGTACTTTATGGGTAATTCCTTTTAACACTCTTGGGGTTTTCTTACACAAAATTGGGTACGATATAAATTATCGCTTTAGGATTTTCATATGCAAATTTACATTTGAAGTAAAAAATGAATAAAATAATTTTTTCTGCTTATGAATGCTGGATACGCAATACAGTGGGCCCTCGATTAACGAACACAATTCGTTCCAGAAGGTTGTTCGTTAACCGAAACCATTGTTTCAATGGGATTTTGGGTAATTGGTTCCAGCTCACCGAAAATTACATACAAATTAAAAGAAAAATGCAGTATAGTACACTTACTTGAGGTGTGTATGTAGACGGTTCCTGGTTGATGATGATGATGATGGGAATTAGAAGTGGGGGTGGAGGAGAAGGAAGTGGGGGTGGAAGAGAAATCACCCCATGCTTGATGCTGTCATTTCACCCATAAAATTTTTAAGTTCACTAGGTGTAATTCAAGATTATTTTCTTTAATTCAACACTGCACTATATATTGTCAATATGTTAAATAAATTTTAGGATGACCAATAATTGTACTGTAAAAATGTAAAAATACTCTGTGTTCAAGAGACCCACACGCAAGATGTTTCCTCCACTGAACAGATACAAACTGAGGCATTGGTGGGTGAGTGAAGTGGCTGATGGGCGCACCAAAAATTAGTTCCCTGTACTGCAATTATGATAAATAAGTGTTAAAGTGACTAAAAAATTTAATATAAAACTTGGAAAATTATTAAATAGTACAACCTTCTTGATATTTACTCCAATTTTAACGAATGTAAGCCCTAGAACCAATTTATGTAATTGGCGGACTAATCTTCCAGCTGGTGAGCAAGCCAAAACATGTCGAAACATTTTCGTTAGAATTTCGTTAACCGAAATGAAGATTCTTATGGAAGGTAATTCATTAACCGAGGGACCACTGTATACACATTTGTTAATGTCAGTGTGATCTGGCAACTATGCAGACTGCCCTCCAAGGTTAGGTTACCTCACCAGTCTCCCTTTGTATTTCAAGAACCCAGGACATAAATTTGACCCACATTTCCACACATTTTCTTGCTGTTTGTGCTGATTTCTTGTGTATTCATAAGTGTTGTGAGAGTTTTGAATCGTGTCTCATGTTACTGGCGAGGGTGGAGGGGTGGGAAAATGTAAAACGTGCAAGAATATTGCACCATGTGGTGATAGTGTGGTTTCTCCAAATGCCTTCTCCTCGCACTTACGTATAGAAATAATTATTTTATTGTGATTACCCATAAAACTGTTTGTCTATAATTTTTTTACAATGCTAATACAGGAGCCCCTACCCCCTCCCCCCAAATTCGCAGGGGTTAGGTTCTCAAAATGGCCATGAATTGCCAAATCCGCGAATAACATTTGCCGACCGGTAGGTGGGGGTACATTTTTACTTGTGTACAAAGAAATGCATATTCCCTTTGTGTTTGCCCTCAGTCAATTATTTTTTTTACCTGTATATATGTGTGCGTGTGTGTAGACACACGCACACGCAAAACACTTACAAATAAAAACTAATTGGTAAATCCTCTCACAAATAATCAGAAACAAATTTATTGAAAATTTGACAGTCTACCCTCAAGTCTGTGCTCTATTAATAAAGTACAGTCTCTCCTCGACTTATCACGGGGTTTCGTCCCGACTACCAGGTCATAAGTCAAAAAGGCAAAAATAATACATAGAAATTCTAAAATGGGTGTCTCATTTTCTTCTCAGCACCAATAGAACTCTCACTTTTACGCTTGCCAGCCATTTTAAAGGGAATTACAAAGGAAAATTTTGTCAGTACACAGCGCAATCACTAACGTAGGGGCTCGAAAATACGTAATGTGAAAAATATTTTATACGGCCATGGTCGTCGTATGTCCGGGTTGTCGTAAGTCAAGGAGAGACTGTACTATAATAGAGAACGGACTTGAGGGTAGACTCACATTTTGAATAAACTTGTTTGATTATTTGTTAGAGGATTTTCCAATTATTATTTATTTTTATGTGTTTTGTGTGTGTCCACATACACACACTGTATTTACAATACAGGTAAAGGAAA